TACTTAAACACCCAGGAGGTAAGACATAAAGGAAAAAAAAACCCAAAGTCATACTTCTTGAATGGGAATGTATGTGTTCGAGATCAGTTTGGTTACAGCATAAAAAAAATCATAACACTGCCGCAAATCTTTCGTGTCACACCATATCGTGACACTATTACAGAACACATGAAAGATAACTCTGGCACGTGAATCTTGATTATGAATTTCCTTCATTTTGTAAAAAATACTATTGAGTTTGGAATTGCATGCCATTTGTTGCATAAAACCAAAAATTGTCTGGCCAAAATGACTAGGATCAGAACGGTAACACAGTGCAAGTGGATTATGGAAGAACAACCAAAAGGATCGTAATGTGGATTTCCCCAAAGAGTCAACCCAGGCAAGGAAATGTGTTGAGAATGCCTAATAGCTGCTTGCTCATTGAATAGTGAAAAGGGTTCATTAAAATCTGGTTAACTCCTTGGCGCCTGCATTGCTCTGGGGAAATCAGACTTCTGGTGCCAAAAGATTAAGTGCTACATATTGAAATGGTTTAATGTATTTAAACCGTGATGAGTAATCTCCAAGAATGAGGTCAGCTATCTGCTACATTAAAAAGCAGTGCCTGCTTATAATAAGCTATCATTGCAGACTGCCTGTGGGTTTATACCTGAATTAAAGAAAAATGCCTGCCCCTTACGTAAAGTGAATGCTGTAGCACACTAAAACAGATGGGAATGCTGGATAGTTTTGTCAGTTTGAGCCATAGCAATCTTTATTCCCTATACTGAGAGTTCCTCGCAACGTAATATGAAAAGTGACTACTGTCATGGGCTAGATCCATATTTACACAATGTTTAGTAGCACTTGACTGTAACTCATAGTGACATTTATTAGTGATAATTTTGTGCATATTGATGGCAAATGTACTTAGCAATTATCTTTGAGCAGATTGTTAGCTGGATGTTCTTGATTAGGAAGGTAATTGTGTGTGGTCTGTTGGTTAGAAGAAGGGACTGAAAGACAGGAAACAGGTTTCTTCTCAGCTCTCACTGCCCAGCTGTGGTCTTGGACCAATTTCTTCTTTTGACTCAAGTTTCCATTTGGAGATCGTTCTTGTGATCTTCTTCAAGGTATTGAGATTCATATCATGCTATGTGTACATATCCATTACTTGAGGTTCCAAAGAAAAAAAAGCAATTTATTTTAAGTACAGAATGTGGTAATAAGATTAAGATGATGCCGTTCCATAACTTTTATACTGAGATGTAGCAAAAGTGAAGTATAATCAAAAGAGTATAGTAAAAATACTACTGAGTTATTTGTTTCTACTTTCATAATTGTCAAGTGTAGCTTTCTAGTACCCCCAATCACTGGAATGCCCCTTGCCGTTCTGAAGATTACATGAGTGTTTTAGTACTTTCTGTACTACTGTTGTACGTACCTAACCCTCTTTGAACATGGTTTTTAAAAAATTCAGCTATTCTTAGTTGTCCTTGCTGTTTTTTCATTTACAAGAGCTGGATGTTGCGTTCACTATTCTAGAGGCTCTTTCTCTGTGTTTCTCTGTTTAATGAGCTTTTTTTTCTTTGCTTTTTTTCCTTCTAGCCTGAACATGTATTCCAGCACTATATTCTTTAGTTTAAATATAGCGTCTCGTGAACGGGGAGTGCAGTATCTGCACGTCGGTTTGCTCATGCTGCAGTCAGTCAGAACATTGGCACCTGCTGTGTATTATTTGGTATTTTGGGCAGAAACATACAGTGTATGATAGTAATGATGTATGGAAGAGATCCTTGCCACTTGCTACTCGGCAATATATCTTGCATTGTGACAGCTAATATATGACATAGTACTACTTACTTAGTGTTTTTTAATAGCAACTGCTTCATCTGGAAGAATTCACCTCCCAGATCTTGCAGTTTATATACTTTTGCTCTTTCTGAATGTCTAATTTATGCTTTTCCCTGCTAGACTGTTTTAAGTTCAGAGGAAAGGGGTGCTATTATGCTTCGCATCATACGCAGGGATTATTGATTATTTGCAAAAACTGAGTGAAAGGATAAGTTGTAGCCCGTCATTATAAATGCTAAACTAAGGTTCTAGTGAACAAACTATGTGGGATCAAGTGAAAGAGAAAATGGAGTTCCTACTACCACTGTGTTCATTGATTTCCTCCCAGAGCAGTCAGCCCATAAATAGAAGCTTACTACTTTTGGCAGTTTTCAGATGGTTCTTTAGCACAGGAAGTAGAAGCTTGTACTTCTTAGTCCGTAATTGTGAATTTGCAAATAACTTTGATAGGATATTACACAATTTTGATTGTAGGAAAAGTCTTATACAGACTTGCATAATAAACTGTGTTTTAAGATTCAACCCCCAATTCCTGCTATTAATAAACTCTAAATTAGTGTCATCTTCCATGACTACTTATTATCTTGGCATTTAGGTTAATTCCTGTATAGTACTTGAATTCAAGTATTTTGTGGAAATTGCATGCTCCCTTAAATGGGGAAGTGACCTGTTCCGTAAGGGAATAACTTGATTCCATTTACATTATCCGGCTTTGTAGCCTTCAGGCGCCGTTTTTAGCTTGCTCCTGCTCAATGCTAACTGAAACCAGTCTGCCATAGCAGCAGTGTTCCCACTGAGGTGAGTTGACTTGTATCAGCTCTTCACTGAGAGGTGTCTGTTTCTCTATTATTATTTTTTAGTCTATTCAGACTACTGTTGGCACGTTTTAGCAGGTAAGCTAAGGACTTGGCCTATGTGGACCTGAAGCTGGAGTTCATCTTTGCTAACAGATCATACATATTCTGGTGAAGTTTCCACTGTCTATATCATATTGTTTCTGTGCAGTCTTCAATTATGTTGTGATTCAGGAGTGTAAGAGTGGTTAGCCTGTTCTGTATTCTCAGTCAGATTGTTAGTTCGTTTAACTTGTTCCCTGACCTATAGCGGAAAATTTTCTGCTATATAAAGAGTATATTAATCATAAAGTTGCTAAAGGACTGCATTTGGTGCATTATAGAAAATGCAAAGGAACCCCAAAGTGCTTGTAGAATGGGTGAGACTGTGAAGAAAAATCATTTCAAGGTTTCTCTGAGAGCACACCTGGTCTGTTATAAAGCACACCACCTTCTTGGGTTTTTCCTGACAGACAGTTAGGCAGGAGGAGGATAAGGGAGAAGATACGCAACAATATGCTTACTGCAGCCCTTGGAAACTACAGGACCTTTCGATTATCATGTAAAGGAAATTAAGGATGGCAATTGGTGCATATACTCTTTGCTCACCCTTTTAAGGCAAAGTGTGAGCTTTGGAGAGTCCTGGGAGCTGAAGGAAGACCTAACCACAAAATCCAAGAAAGCTTGGTTTCTTGAAGTCTGCTTGTTACGTAGCTAATTACTTGTAGATGAGGACTTAAAGCCCCATCCATACAATGTGAATTGTTTCTTTACTGGTGTCCAGGTTTTTATCTATAGGAACACAGGAGCAACGGAGCAGAAAAAGCAGGTAGCATCTAGAGCGAGGCTGTTCCTTGCTGTGTCTAAATATCTTACTGATGTTAGGCACATCCAGGTTCTACAGCAGTTCAGATCAGATCTTGACAACGTGGTAGTTAACCACTTGGCAAGCAAGACTGTTTTACTTTATTAGACTCTCTTATGGCCAGTTGTGGAGCTATGTTGGTTTTAGCGGAAGCGGGGTCTAATGGCACGTCTAGTTTGCTTTGGTTAAGTCCTTTTGCCTATGTAACGCCTGCTAATCCAGTGTCTGTAATGTGGGTAGCTTTGAAAAGGTTAAAGGAAAGCAGTATTTAAGTAACAAAATCATGCAAGTAATCCACATATTTGAGGCCTCAAATACGGTGGTTGAAAAATGATGCCTCAGCATTAACTGGATTTCTTTTCAATTGTGTATGTGTTTGCAGTTACTCTTACACTGTTCAGAAGATGTACGTACGATTTCTCTCTGTGCAAGTCTGCTCTAATCTTATCTGAACAGATTCACCCTTTACTTATTTGCCCTAAGGGTTTACATGTGTCTTTGATCCAAGCATGTGATCTATTAATGAGTATTGTATGTATTGTCTTTATCCTGCTATTGAAAAAAGACATTGTTTATGAAAACAGTGTTCCATGTTTATAGCGCTCTCTCACGTTATAGATTTGGCATGCATCCGCTTCATTGTCTTGGCAAGACAAGAATTAAACAAGAATGCGTATGCCCCAATGGGGAAAAGGATACATTAATTATTTTAGCTGAATGACATTGATTACAGCAATTAAGTTTAAAAAAAAAAAAAGTTTGAGGATGGAGCGGGAAAGACTAACGCCTTCCATTATACATGATTGTGCTAACCAATCATCTTGCATTATTTTTAATATAAAGTGTGGGGAAAAGCCTTCTTTCATATTCAAATAATGTTATTCTCTCCCCAAACAACTTATGTATATAGCATGGTGGAAACAGTATTCTTGTAATTTCTTTTCTTGTTCCTTCCTCTCCCTTCATCCCTTTCCTCAGCTGTCAAGAGAAATAAATTAGATACCTTTTGGAAACCTATAGAGTCTCACTCTGTAAGCATTTTCTAGATTTATAAAATTTTAGAAGAGATTCACCTTCAAGTTACTGTACAATACATTATATGGACTTTATTACTGGCCATGGTTTCAGCCTAAGATTAAATACTTAGTAGTTCTAGTTTTGAGCTAACAGGAGCTACGTTGCGTTTGCTCATGGGGGATTCTATATAAAGGAAACGGTGTTTCCGTGATGAAGAAATTGACTTCCTTTAGAATGTGCAGTTCACTAGGTGACAATTTTTAATGTGTTTTTAATAAACCGATTGTGGAAAGAAATGATTTTATTTTATAGTGAATAGTCCCTCTGGTGTGCCTCTTAAAATTGAGTCCTGGAATTAAGGACAAACTTGGTTTAAATGGAATAGCAATGCCATGACTTGGCTCTAACTGTTGCTTTTATTGCAAGACCTATTTATCTGCAAATACAAAGTAAGCAACCATTTGGGTAGTCCTTGTGGTACAGTGATGTGTTGCCTGTCAGGTGAGGCAAAGTGGAAAACTGTGCCGGCTTTAAGGCCGTTCAGCACCATAAAACCCTTCTTTTTTGTGTTGTATGCTTCTTTCTGTAATTTTGAACCAAGGGATGTATTTTCTCTTTTTTGGTGTTACGTGACAACAACTGATGTTGAAAGAACCATCATAAAACCAAGTCTTTGTTAGTCTGTTCCTGTTGCTTTTGAAGATTGCAATACTAATGTAAAACACTACTGGTTTTATTAATTAGCATTTTCTAGTCTTTTATAAATAACCTTGCAATCGTGCCACGTGCTTTGCATTGTGTATATGATTTGAGGGTAATTTTTGCATGCTTACACTGTAGAATTTTCTTGGAAAATTGCGAACCTTTACTTGTGATCGAAATGTGTGAAACCTCTTCACTAGATAAATGTGCAGTCATGCAAAAAATATTGTGTGAATTGGATTGCGTAGGAATAGCTGTGATGGGCATTGTAGGCTGCATCCGTCTGAAAGATCCCAGTTTGGAATATTGTTCAGTATATGTTAGACAAGTGAAACTATGCCCTTTCTTTCTTTGTGTCTGCTTACTCTTGGGGCTAAGGGGAATGTGTGTGGAGTGCAGGGGGAATTTTGAGAGGAGACTTGAACTGTGGACCCGTTAGGAGTCCTTAGTGATCAATCAACCAAACTGTTAGTAATAACAGTGTTTAATATGAGCTTAGTTAAGCAGTAAAGCTTGTGGGTATGGGAAAGGCTTGATGTGCTCAATATCAGCAGACTTCCTAGAATGCCACCATCTCGTTTAGTTTATCTAGTTGTTATTAGTTATTTGGCCTATATATGAAAGGTCTGATATCACCATTCCAATTTCAGGTGATTTCTGTTTGGGCAACAATGCAGTCTTCATAAACAGATGACATTCCAGATCTTCATAAACAGATGATGTTTAGTGATTGTACATTTGAAAAAAAAGTGTTGATTGTCTGACTCTGCGTGTTTAAATCTATGCCTTTTTATGTTTGAAAATTCAGAAAACCTTTGGTGTGCTTCTTTTTAGGAACAGAATGTGAAGATCTCATAGAAGAGCTGCTGTGTTGCCTCATCCAGCTCATTGTTGAAGTTCCCCTCTTGTAAGTTTGGTTTCTTTGCAGCCTCTTCCTATATTTGCCCAAATGCTTGGCTTATAAAACTTAAAGTGATGGGGATCATAATTTTTTTTAATAACTTGAATGCTCTGTGCTATGGTACAGTACTGATAATGATAAACTACTGCCAGTACCAACCCTGAATATTTTGTTGAAAGAAATAATGGTCACTATCTCATACCCAGTTCAAACCGTGAGCAGGAGCTCTCCCATTTTATTTTGTAGATACTTTGTTGTTTGTTTCAGGTACCTCTGTTAGTACACAGAAAGTCACTACCAACTTTTGGTTGGAAATGATCGAGCTATTTTTATAGGAAAGGGCATGTTGGAGGTGCTGTTGCTTCATCCCTGGGGCACCCAGCAAGGTACAAGCAAAAATTCCTGTTCTGCACTTGTGTGGGCTTTTGAACTTGTGGTCTGTTCTCATTTAATGCCACTGAACTGATATCTGAAGAAGAGAGTCGTGACTAGGTGGAATGTTTCTGTGGATCTTCAACAAAAATTCATTTGTTTACATTACTTTTTAAAATGCATCTATCTTATTTGAGATGTGTTGATTCCACATTCCATTGGGATATGTGCCGTGAAACATCCTTCGCTTTTCTTGTTTGCAGTCCATAGTATTAAAGGCAGAAGAACTTAATTTTTTTTTTGAAAAAAGTTTTTCAAACCACTCTTCTTTAGTTTTACCATTTATTTACAAGGTAACACTATCTTTGGTAAAGTTTAGCAATAGCTGTTGTATTTAATTATGTTGTAGTCTGTGCCTAAAATGTGTTGTTGCAATTAAAGCATCACAGCTTTGACAGAGCTCCACAGATTATCTGTTATAGTATTGTATACATCTCTGTTGATGGTTTAGTTTTCATACTGCTGATTGCTTTTCTGGTTGGAAAGCTGACAAAGATGCAATAATTCTTGAAACATTACACTCATTAAATACAATCCTGTCAGCATTACATGAGGGTTTTGGGTAGTCACTGTGTAATGAATTAGCAATATGATTTAGAGTGTCATTCTCCAAAGCTTGTCAGTACTTCCTGGAACAGATACGCTTTTTGTTTGGTGCAGATTAGAGGAAATATGAAGAGGTGAAAGGACTGAAATATATGGGCAAGTTCATAAATCCTGTGGGAGGTTTGTGTGGGTTCCCCCCCCCCACCACCTTGGAAGTCCCCATGGCTGTATAGAGTCCAATATCATTTATTTTGTCTTTCTGGCAGAAAACATTTTACAGGCGTAGTTGTTCTTAGCCCTCTTGAACAATTGAACCTGTCAGCATCTCCATTCTGCATGAATGTGATTGCTGGGGATGGAAAAAGTTGTTGAAAGCACTTATTTTACAATATAATATAGTAATAATAATGGTTCACTCAAAGTTATATAGCTGCTATATAGTCTTTAATGTTCAGCTATATTGGAGTTGTATTCACTCTTCCACATCTAACTCCTACGAGAAACACTTTTTTGCAAACAACTTTTCGTGGCTAAATTTTTCCAGAAATAGTATGCTACTGCATTGTTAGTTTGGACAAGGTTAAGTAGGGTAGTAACACTTATAAAAGTGTATAATATTGTATTGTTTAGCAATGTAATATGTTTAACAATGTAATAATGCCTTAACAAGAATTTTTTTCCCAAGGTCATTGAAAGGGAAATAGGAAAAGGGGAAAGGTATGGAAAAACTTGCTTACTCTAACAGATGCTCAAAAAAGGTCCCTGCTGAGAGTTTTCATTCAGTTTAATCTCTCTTGTTGCTCAAGATTGCCTTCTTAGTAGCTGTATCATGAGTCAAAAGTAGCTGTATTTTAAGTCAGAAGACAAAAGGACTACAATCTACTGCGGGAGGAGGGAAATGCCTCAACTTCATAACATCTTTATGAAAAAGAACAGAGCTCATTTTTTGCTTAAGATAATACTAAATTTTTTTTTCAGGAGAATGGTTAGAGTTGTTTTGGTAGCGAGATGGCTCTTAAATTTGATCGAGGAGGGAAGGAAGTTATGCTCTCAGTTCTTTCCCAACTTTCTATCAAGGGATGCAGTCAGGAAAATTTCAAGTTTTATATGTGAGTTTGGGAAGGAGTAGGTTGTCCGAATGAACTGAGTAGTAGACTGTTTCTGGATGAAGCTGTGTAGATTGTGTTACGGAGTAGAGAGAAATTTGATTGTAAGATAGAAAGGTCATATCATTACTGTTCTGTCTTGATTATCACATTGAGAAGTTGTATGCATAAGATGAGGGGTACTGTTGGGAGGAGAGTTTTAGGGTACTTCTGTGTGGTATTTTTCAGGCAGGTGCATAATGTTGACCTGCGTTCCAGACTGACCAAAAGTGAGCATAAGAGCTTGGTCTTGGCACTGTGCTAACCAAACTCGTGAAAGATCGAGTCTTCCCTGAGTACGAGCAGAGCCTGCTCAGCTCTGAGCTTGCTTTACTGAGAGTCTTGGCAAAATGAGCTCATGTCTCTCCACAAAATAATGTGTAGAGACACCTGGAAAAAGCAACTGTGCAGTCAAGCTCGAAACTAATAACCAAGGTGTGCGAAATGGGGAAGAAGACAACCTGTCAAGTCTGTAACTCACCTCTCCATATCTCTTCGGTTCTTCAGTTACACCTCACAGAAAAAGTGTTGTGTTTTTTTTTTTTGGAAAGTTCTAGAGATGTACAGCGATGCATAGCTGGAAAGAGCATCTCAGAATTATCTCTCAGGAATGGAAAAAGCTATGTGTCAGAGTTGGAGTTTGTATTGGGAAAGGCAAAAGCATGTTATGGAAGTTGCCCTCAGCATAGCTAAAACAGGTGGTAGTAGGGACCGTGGGACTCGATGGCTTTGTGGCCCTGTTTCTGAGAGTCATTAAAAAGATCTTAGATTGCCCTTCTGGAAAGCAGACTCTGCTATGTTGCACAAAATGCTAAAGGGAAAAGTTTCACGTCTTAACATTTAATTTTAAGAAATTTTATTTAAACTGTGTTATTGCTTTTTAAGGATCAGACCTTTTTAAGGATCAGACCTATGCAGTCCCTTTTAAGACTTGCGTTACGGTATGTTGATCTTTGATTTACGGCTCCTTTGGGTGTGTTATGGATACTTTGCTTTTTCTTTGGTCTTGTTAATGTTAGCACCCAAGAGTGTACACTAATGATCAAAACTACATAGTCAGCAAAAAGATACAACTTCAATATTTAATCATATCTGTTTTGCTTAGAAACTATCGCTAACGTTTTGTTGCAAGATTGAGCTCCCAAAATTTTAAATTATAAAGGCTTCTTTCAGCAGCTTGTTAAGACCTGGTATGCATAACGGAACATCTGGTTGTTATCAGTACATTTTCACTTCATTTAAAAACTATAAATGCATATGAAGGAGAAATGAAATACTGTGATCCAGTTACATCATTGTAAAGTAGCACCCTGTGGTGCCACTAGAAGTTAGTTGATATTTTCATTACATTCTGTTGTTTTCTATAGTTTAAAGTTGTTTTAGGCTGCAATTTTTCATTGAAAATAAACTTGAAAGTGAAAGATTAGAATCATGTGAACAGTATTTGACTCATTTAAGGATGATCTCTACGTTTTCTGGGAGTTTAATACCCAGGCATAGGAGGAAGAAGGGAAATATAATTGATTATGAAGCTCTGCAGAATCGTTGCAGTGTGCAGGCAATGCCATGTACAGCTAATGATAAATGTTCTTGTTTAGGCTTTTTTCCTCGCTAGTTGTGAGCGAGGAAGAGGTTAAGAACCCTCTTCTCCCCTATATTAGGGAGAATATTTCATACTCTATTTTTTTATTGTTACTTTTAAAATGGTGGCTTAGAACACTACTTTAAAAAAAAAAAAAAAAAAAAAACAGCAATTCAAGGAGCCTAAGACTGTAGTAGCTCTGATGTTTGAACAACTAGTCAGCTTCAGCACTTTTTGGCAACTCTGTCTAACCGTCAAAGGGAAACTTCCATCTATCTATTTGAGCTGATATTGAAGCTAGCTGAAGTATCCGAACTGACAGAGATTTGTACTGCTTCCCGTTGAAGATCGTCAGGGTTTATGAATAACTGGTGATAAACATAGGAGAAGATTACTGTGGTCCTTGTAGGAGGGATCTGATGCGTGTAAAGGGAGTTTTACTGGCTGCTGCACCTTGTGGTGTGGCAGGACAAGAGGTGTTTATTTCTTGGAGAGCTTTTCTGTCTTGTTGTGAGTGTTTGCGGCTCGAGCCCTGGTACTTACACTTTTGTCTTTAGAGTGAATAATGAGTATTTCTGTCTGCATGGGTGCTGTCTTCATGACTGTGTAGCCATGAGGAGTGCTGTGTTGCATGACTGCTTGCTCAACAGCATGGCTGAGTTGAAATGCCTTTAGACTCAGCTTTTTTCTTCTTTTAAGTAAATCAACGAGTTTCAAATCTTTTTAATTTTTTTTATTTTGAAGATTTTTCTTTATCAGTCACTATCCTTTTCTGTTTTGTGAAGGCATGAGAGTTACCTCCTAAGTGTCTAAAAGCCCTAAGCTGGGGAACCTTTAGCTGTGTTGCATGTTCTTCTTTTTCTGTTCTAATTTTATTCTGATTTAGTTTTTATTTCAGAATAGTGTTTCTCTATGACCTGCCTTCTCAGCAAGCTAGCTCTAACCTATATTCAACTTGTAACAATCTTGTATTTCTCTTGTAGCAATCTTTGTAATCTCAGAGCCTAATATCAAAGGTTTGGACTGTTTGATCATTCATCCTGTTGTATAATCATGCTCCTAATAACGTCCTTTCTCTGTCATAGTTTTCAGCCCTGTTATCACAACAGGTATTGAATACATCTTGAAAAATGCTTGCTTGCAAGTATTTAGGTGCAGTCTATGACTTGGGAAGCCAAGATGCCTAGGCACTGAAGTTGAGTATATCTCCTGATGCCTCAGGAGATCAGACTGTTTCACATTGGTGACAGCTACCAGACTAACAGGCATAAGCCTGTTTTCTCCAGCGCCTAAACATGCGT